CCTTGCTGATACACAGCTGTATTAAAATTGCAACTAACTCTGAAGTATATGCCCCCATCTTAACAGGCTAACTCAGTAAATTAAATGAGAAAAAGAGGGACTTGGAAGTTTTGGGGGAAAGATGAAACCACATGTCATTTATGGTTGATCCTGTACTGGGGAGCCAGAGACAAAACGGCAGGCAGAATGTTGAATTTTTTTTGTAAACATCTGCTGTTCTCCTGTTCCCAGAGGAACCACTGACAGCCAACAAACACATAGCAAGAGCTTTAGACTTTATTCAAACAGCCCCAAAGAAATCTGACTGTTTTTTTTTCAGAGTTGTAGCATACCTACATATCAAAGTCTTTCCCCAGGCAAACCCTGGTGGTAGCTGGTCTGACTTTCCCAGGGCTGGAAAACCCTGGAAAACCAGGGCTTTGAGTGACTACACAAAAAAAGGCCATTGAAGAGCCTCAGGGAGTCAGCAAAATAAAATACAAAACACTTGTTGCTCCTCCAAAAGAAATACTTTTAGTGCAGTGCTAAAGATAAGCCTTTCGCTAGAGCACACCAACACTGGGCAGTTAAAAATACACCCAGACAGTACAGTATTACAGACCCAGACCAGTTTACCTCATCGGCATCAACAGGGTTTGTGAAGGCCTTGAAACGTCTGTCAGTAGCAAGTCTGAGAGTAACATCCCTTAAGAAAATGCTAAGTGCACCAAAGGACTCCTCCTCCTGCTCCTCTGCCCCTTGCGTTTCTCCCTGTGGTGGTTCCTGAGGTTCAGGCGGTGGCGCCACCGGCAGCACTTCCAGGGCCTGCCGAGCTTAAGGGAATCAGAAAAGTTTATTCCATTGGCAGCACTCAAATAGGAGCACACACAGAGCTACTGATAGAAAACTCGTTACCAAAACAAATACTGTAAGGCTGTTAACATACAGTTAGCAAATTATTATCTATAGAATAGGCTCACTTGCTTTCTTTCTAGATGCAGGAGGTTTAGCAGCTTGATTTAAAATTAAGTCCTCAAAAAAGTTTCTTGTGTCTTCCTTAGTAGGCAATGGGATATCAAAAACTTCTCCATAATCTTCAATAAACAACTCTTGTATCTACAGCATGAGAAGGAAAGACATTTCAGGTACAAGATCACTATGCTGAAAAGAGGATTTTTTAAATTAAGCTTAATAATGTTCTGAAAAATAATAATAACAAAAAAATGTTAAGTTATCTCCCTGGTGATCAAAGGCTAGATTTCTTTAGGTTAGGATGGCAAATAAAATAACTTCATGGAGGAAAAGCTCTAGAAAGCGATGACATCCCCGACCTTTGAGGTTTCCTGCTTGAGGAAAAGCTCTAGAATTTAAGCTCAGGGAATGGACGAGCACAGGATGCACTGACAGAGTGATGACATCCCCCACCTTTGAGGTTTCCTGCTGAAGTGGAAGCGAGTCCCTTGACTCACAAAACAACTGAGACAAACGTTCTCAGCACTACTTTGTGTCTAAGCAAAATTACATGATTCAGAAGGGTGCCCTCCTAATAAAAGGATCCATTTGTGTGAGGGAGGACAGTATTCGTATAGTTAAAGGATTCATAAAATGAAACTGAATAAAAGAATTGGGAAAATTGTTGATAGAAATACCTGATCTTGGAGATCCATGTACGACACGTTTGCTGTTGCAAGCAACAAAACCGGAGCAAATGCTGGAATGTTCTCTAATAACGGTGTAAAAGTAGTTTTCAATGCAACGCCAGCTGTTTCCTACCATATATCGATTCGTGGAATATAAATTATACTCAGTGCTGTCTTCTGAGCTTCTCAGATAAACTAGTAAAATGAAAGCTTTGGTTAGAGCACTGAACCAGGGAGCACAGGCTGCTCATAAATAACTATGCATCAAACTGGCCTAGCAAAATAGAAGTGCATTAAGGCAATGTACCAAAAAACCCCCCCAAAAAACCCAAAAACCTCACCCATGCAAAACTTATTAATAGTAGAGTAAAATTTCTATGTTGACTCAATAATTGATAGAGCTACACAGAGATCCAGATTGCTACCTGATTGCAAAACTGCTTATATGTAAGTTAACTTCTAAAGAGCTGCACGACTCAATAGAACATCTGTGCTTACACGTCCATCTCTCATAAAAGGTCCAAATGTTATAATACAGTAACGAAGTATATTAAAACAGACCACCTCCATTAACAATTTGACTTACCTCACTTGAGCAGTTTACAGACAGTCAGTGAATCTCATGAGAGTAAAGAAAGAAGAAAAAGATACCTGTGCACATATTTCCCCTGGTGATGAGGCACTAGCAAGGAGAACTGGTAGGTCCAGGGTATAAACTGGAAACTTTTCCAGAGCATGTATGACTGCGGGCACCAAGTGGGAGCTTTGCCCACGGTCTGTCTCTCCAGACAGCAAGAGCCTTGGCCTGTGACACGTTGGCTGGCGAGAAGCATTTCTAGAACAAAATCAGAAAATAGCAGGCTTAAAAACACATAGTGATGAATAAAGACATAAATGTTAGTTTGCTCTTGAGTTTCTCAAGTTTCTCTTGAGAGAAGACACAAGCAGCATAATCTGTTTTCAAAGATACAGCAAGCTGAAGATTCTGAACCTAAAAGGGTCCCCTTTAAATGCCTAAAGAGGCATTTACCTCTTCAACTCTTCAAGTCAAGGAAGTTTTTCTTCTTTCGACAAGACTTTTCAGGAAAAGACTCCTTATCTTCAAAGGCTGAAAGTGACTCCTCATCATTCCAGATGAAATCGCTTTGTAAAATAGCGTTCATATCATCTGGAAGACAATAAGGGTTTGTTAACTTGCCTGGATAGTCTGCATGTCTCTCACTCTAATACAGCTTCTAAAACAGCCCCCAAACCCACTTCTCTTCTATTTCTCCCTTGGATGGGCTCACACTAAATGCTATTTTTGAAGACTTGATCCTACCACAGATCTAAAGAGATTGCACAAGGGTCTACAAAGCTGGCCTAAGTCTTACGTTTTGCAAAAGTTATGATTCTTTATTGGAAAAAAGTCCCTTTTTTTTTGCCCCAAGAACAAGGAAACGTGATTATCAGCAACAATTCCTGTACTTGCTAGACACCCACACAACCCACAAGGCCGTGTGTGTGTCTGGAGGCTGTGTTCCACCGTAAAAGTATGGGAATTAAGTGAATGTGATGGACACCAACGGCCCTTTGTCTCAAGACTCCTAAGCCAGGGTCTGTAGATCAACCCATCTTCTGTATAAAGATCCTCCAACATCACTCAGGGAGGAGAAGGTAGAAGCGGAGAACAGAGAGGTGAAGCAATTATGGATCCCCTAGCCTCTCTACTTGCATTTGTTGTGGCTTTCTGCCTGTTCTACCAATAAAAATGAACCTCGCAAGTCTCCAGGTAGAAAAGCTAGCAGGATATTGCCAGTAAATCTGATGCATGTGACCTCACACATCGCACAGTGTGATCCACAAATACTTCAATTAATATGAGGTAAAACTATAATAGCTAAAACAACATTTGGTTTTAACCAGCTGTACATGTTATTGTCCTACCTTGCTGCTGGTCCTTCTTTAGGACAAGTTCTGCGTCGGGAAGTACTCTCTGCAGGACTTGTAAAATTCTCTGAAAAGTCTTATTAAGCAGTGGTTTAAAAATGGGTGATAATGCTTGTCCGGGCAAAGCCGCAGACCTCTGTGAAGCTGGTACAATTTTTTCCATAGCCATGAAAAAAATCTTTTGCTATTATTTTAATTGAAGAGACTAGCTGCAGTTTTTCAGGGCTTCTGTATATCTGAGGGTAGTGGCGCCGCAAAGCACAGAGGGCAGCTTCAGCACATGCGGACTTGATATCAGCACCACAGTGTCCTAATAAAACCAAACATCAAATGGAGCATTATGTCAGGCTCTGGCAACACAGAACGGTCAAGTTGCCAAAGTGCAACATGCCAAGACTTTGCATGCAGGTTAAAAAACCAGTCTAATAGGAAATGTGAAAAGTGTTGCTGCACTACAGAGGTATTGTTAGTCGCCCTGCACGCTTACAAACCAGCCAGACTTTTCTCCTGAACCTTCTAAGCAAAACTTTTCTCCAGAGGAAGTTGCCCTCAAAAGCTACTCGCTGTTTGGAGAGACAGAAAGTAAAGCAATAAGAGGGTGGAAGTGCCTCACTCTGATGGCTTTGAGGACACGCAGCTGGCTCCCTGGCTAGTTGTGCAGCGAGGTGCAAGAGCCTGGTTACCTCCTGCCGTGCGCCATGAGCTGAAACACCTGCAGACTCAGTCACATGCAGGAACTCGCTTGATTTTTGAACTTACCAGCAGCTTTTTCAGCCAGCTCATCAAGGAACGTGTCACATGGTTTAGGGGTCCACTTTCGTGTGTGAATCTTGAAAATCTCTTTTCTAGCCTAGGAACAAAGTGCTTGCATTATAGCTTGTCTTGAGTCGAAAGGCAGAGGCAGAACCCCTCATATTAACAGATTAAGGCAAATGATTATATTAAACTTGTAGGAATTTTAAACTGTAGTGAATTCGCTCCCTTCTTTTCAAAGCTTAATTTTTCTGTTTGTTCCATTAAACTCTTTCTGCAGACCTAAGGCCAAAAGGCAGGTAAAGCTTCTATAAAAATTAAGTTTTGACAAGTAGGAGAGAAGTAGTAATTTTGGGAAAGAAACATTAGAAAACTGGAAAGAAAAGGTTTTTCCTCAAAGAAAACTTATCTCAAATGTAGCAAGATATCATGACGACAGACTCACTAGTTTGCTCTTCTGTCAGTTCATTCAAGCAAAATAGTCCTAGCACTGGTTCCAATTGCTGCAATTGCTACAAAGAGCAACTGTGATTCAAGCTAGTAGCACCGATCCAGAAATTGGATGGAAACAGGAGGCAAATGCTTATGGAAAATACACTGTAAACACAGTGTTTGGTACATTTTTACTTGCTTCCAGTCATACTCCACTTTATCCTTTTCCCAAGAAGCGCTAATTAAAACAAACAAACAAAATAGCCTAACAATAGTCGAGATATTCTGGCTAACTAGTGATAGCCAGAACAAAAGAACAAAAATCAGCTTCATGTGGAGTTTTCCTTTTTTTAAATACTTTGGGTTGCTATATACCCATTTTTGAATTGTTTAGAAATGGCGATTTTAGTGAAAAGCTACTTTTAAACCTACTCATTTTTATTTGGGATAATGGAGTTCCCTAGGGCATGTACCTCTTCTTTCGTACTGCGTCCTCCCTCCACACCAGGACGGTCTCTCAGGATATTGCTCCTGTGTGTGAGCTGCACGGGGCTGCATTCCCGCTTACCTGCTCCACGACACCATGTTGTGACACGGCTTTGTCAGCAAGAAAGATTTGCTGGATGAGCACCAGAATTGAATACAAGATCCTCCCTCTTTATCTGGCAGTTTAAAAAGGAATTCTCGCTCAAAGCGCCCAGCTCTGCGTAGCGCAGGATCTATCCAATCCAGCCTGTTGGTGGCTCCAATGACGACAACTTCTCCTCTGCTGTCCAACCCATCCGTAAGGGCCAGCAGTGTTGATGCGATTGAGCTAGCAGAAAAAAATTATATATTATTTTGTTTCCCTGGGTTAGTAAATTTTGTTCAATTATGCATTATTTTCTCTAGTGATCCCTGAGAAAAGGACAAGCTTTTGCTCATTAGGATGCTGATGAGCGAGAGGGCTCATTTTAAGGCTCTCAAAAATAGAGAAGGGTCACTTAAATGTTGTGCTGATATCAAGCTCAGTGAATGCTTTTAAACTGTAGCTTGAAGTGACGTGAATTTAGTATAATTGAGCTACAGGTTTGTAGCATATTATATCATATATAAACAGGTTTTGGTCTTCTTTCCTCAAAGATAAGGCACATTATATGTAGATGCAAAAAATAAATAAAAAAATGTTGTACCTGTGGGTTTGGTCTTGCCTGCTTGAGCGCGTGGGAGCATCAATTTCATCAAAGAAAATGATGGAAGGACGAAGTTGATGGGCCTGGAACAAAACAGGGATACAGGAATATGACCCAAGTAAAATGGTGCTGCTCTAAGAGGAAATGCATGAAATGCACTGTGGTTGCAACATCATTGCAACTAGATATTTAGAGCAGCAGGGACCTCTAGTAACTGAGCTAATGGAGTGACATGTTCTCAGCCTGCACCTGTTTCTCTCTGAATCTGAGCCATTATCTCTTGCAACCTCTTCTGTGGTTTTGGTGGGGAAAAAAAGTCTTGGTTTGAGGATTTTTTGGAGTTCTCTTTTTGTTTTTTTTAAATCTTCCCCAGCACATCTCCAAGATTTCAACTCCCTGGTCCCAAGTACGGAGGCATTGAGAAAGAGAACACCAATGTTCCCATTTCAGTGTTAGAAATGGGCAGAATAAATAAGTCTTCCTCCAAAATGTTCATCACCAAAAATTACAGGCCCAGCTCTGTAAGAGCACACTGCAACCTTACCTGCTCAAAGAGCAAACTAAGTTGGTGGTCTGACTCCCCTACCCCCTTGCTGAGACCATCAGCTACTTTTCGCATGAAAAAGGATATTCTCCTGCCGCCTTGGCTGCACTCGTTGGCAAGGGCCTGGGCAACCAGTGTCTTTCCAGTCTCTGGGGGGCCATACAATAAGCAGCCTCTGTAATAGAGAGAGATTCACATAGGACAAAATTGTCAAAAACGCCCATTTCTACCCCCATCCCTAAGATGATCAACCCCTTCGTCCGAACCAAACCCCTTTATATCCAGAACAGCAGGAACAGCTAAACTGTGAGAAAAGCCAGTACAGGAGGAAGTTTTGTGTTTCTAAAGAATTTCACATGCCGATAAGCAAAACTAGCCAAGGGGATTAACAAACTCACACCCCCACTCTCTTCTGGAGAGAGGGCAGTGTCCAGCAGGACACGTCCAAAACTGCTCCCAGGCACTCTCTTCTGGAGAGAGGGCAGTGTCCAGCAGGACATGTCCAAAACTGCTCCCAGGCACCACAGGGGACCATGGCAGAAAGGAGCCAAACAAGAGCCAACTTGTGGGGCTGCAATTCTCTACAATACTAGTTTGTTCTTCAATTAGAGATATATCATATGCTCCCTTCTTCAAGCACCATACACCAGGTCTTCCATCATGCCAAGGCCTTTGCTTACATTTTGAACCTGCATATACTATACATTTTATAAGTTTTAAATTAATTATTTTTATTACAAAAAAAAAAAACACACTCAACAATGCCCAAATGTTTGAAGCACACACACACATATATATATATATAGATATAGATATAGATATAGATATATAGATATAGATGCCTCAGTGTAATATCCTCCCCCAAACAGCTGACTTAGCGTTTTGTAAAGCTGTGTTACCTTGGGGGCTGAATTTTGAATTTCTCAAATACTTCTGGATAAAGCAGTGGAAAAATCACCATCTCCTTTAACACTGCATGGCACTGCATCTATTTGCACGGCACTGGCATCAGCCAGACTTGCTCTCATGCTCATTCGATCCTCGTCAATCCCCTCCAAGTCATCTTTCCTAATGTTAATGGGAAGACACCTGCTTGGAATGAAGAAGAAAGAGAAAGGCTCCTTCTAACTGAAGGGAAAGCTGGAAGACTTTTATTTTTAAGGGTTGGAAAGCAAATGTGTGCAACAAAACACAGGCATTTCAGAAACATCTACCTGAAAACATATTTGCTAAATACTTAATACAACAAATGATATTAAAAGATATTAAGTGGCAAAACCACTTTTTCTCTATTTTAAACTTCATCCTAGAGCAGGTTCTTTTCTAAATAAGCTACTGTAAAGCAAAAGAAAGATAGAATTTTACATTAAAAAAATAGGTGAGCTCCCCCCAGTGCCATTGCTTAAAAAGAACCACTCTAGAAATACAGCTCAAGAGTGCTGAGTGACGATCACCAGTTCCTTCGCTACGATTAAATATTGCTACAATTTAGAATCTGTACAGGATTCAGAGAATAACACTTTGCGGTTAGGGAGATGCTCCTCCTCTTTAGCAGGTTCCTCCTCTCCCCATCCTCTCATTCCATTAACCTTGGATTTCCCTTGCGGGTGTGTTTCCTCCACGTCTCAAAACGCTCCCCAGATTTGCCAGAGGAGGAGGACGGGGAGGATGGGGAGGACGAGGAGGACGGGGAATCTCTGTCGTGAGAGAGAGATTGTTTCTGCCTGCAAATATTGATACAGATATGTTTTTAAAAGATAAAATTCCCAGGGTTCTTTAAAATCACTACTGACTACAAAATAGATGGTATACCAAATTAAGTATATATTTTTAACACCATGCATCATATTTAAATACTGAGATCATAGTGGATTCTTCTAGCTAAGAATGCTGGCAGTTTCTTTATATGCACTAATTACAAGCTTTTTTTTTTTCTTTTTTTTTGAATTTTGCATATAAACAAGGACTTTGTTTCACCCAAATGTCAAGTGAAACAGTTTTTAATTATTTATTTTATTCATGGGACATAGGAGACTAAAAATCCACTAAAATGGCCAGGCAGACTCTGCTTTTAAGGAAGTCAGCTCTATGTTTTAAGTAAATAATTTCTACTCCTCCCAGTTAAACAGTCTGAGATTTTTGGAGGGGGGCTCTGCCTTCAAATTTCAAAAAGAATTTCAGTGGCTGAATGTCAGCCAATATCTGCATGATCATCTCGGCACTAATCCCCGACCATTGCTCTGTAAACAACTAGTGGCCAACAGAAAGTTTTCTTAATGCCCTCAGACTATCACAGGAATAGTCATGATTATTCTCTAATTCCCACCGGTCTGAAAACTCTTTAAAGCACCCTTTAGTGAGTGACTAATCAGCAATCAAGTGAAAGAAAGATCCCAAGAGAGGTCGGAAAAGAGGCAGGATTTTTATAGGAGCGGATGGCCTTCTCTGGAAAAGTCACTCCACTTCTGGGGTGCTGACATGAAGGTTAATGTAATCACGGTTCCTTTGTAGCATTTCAGCCGCAGGTTTAGCACAGCACCGTTCACTGTATATGCTATTACACTTCCTCTTTAAAGGTATTAACTGACCAGACATAGGAAACATAGGAATATAATACCTGGTAAAGTTATATTCCATTGCAAACAAAAAGGGTGGAGGCATGTCTGAGGACGATGAAGTTTCTGAAAGGGAAGGAAGCATTTCTTCCATCGAAGATGAAGTATTTTCGTCCAGATACTGTCTTAATGAAGGTTCCTAAGAAAAGAAGGAAATACAAATATGTTTATCCGAATCATGTACAGTCAGTTAAGAAGGAAATTCTGCCTGACTGAGGCACTTTGGTTCTAAAACTCTCCTAACTGGTAGAGAAGCAACTAACAGCTGCTAAATCCGGATCCACTTCTGCACCCACAAGTAGCTTTCAGAAAAAAAACACATTAAAAAAAAAATCTTTCAAAGCTAATGGTTCCCTCTCAGCTTTTCCTGTAGATGAATTAAGCTTAATATTTGGGAAAAAAAAAGCAGCATATACTTTTGCCTTTTTTGCCTTTAACAAAATCATTTTTAAAGTTATCTCATAAATTTAGAGTTTCTAGCATCTTCTGTTTCAAAATAACTTGTTTATCGTGACAGTTAAGCTTGGCCTAATGTATCCTGGAACTGAAATCTTAGATGGGAGGATTTCTCTGCTATCTGTGTCCTGCTTACAAGGGCACTCAGAGGACACAAAGATTTCCTTCAGAAGGAACCCATGTACGCACAGGAAACCAAAAGGAACTTAAAAAGCCAGCTGGTGGTTTGTGACTTCTTCTCATGAGACTTAAGGAAACATTGTTGAAAATCTCTTGGATCCCTTGCTATGAATAATTATTGCGAGCGCTGTGTCTGTGCAGGAGGTATATGCACATATACACACACAGATACGTTGTCTGGTTGCGTGAAAACCTGTTCGGCTTCAATACAGAGCCAGGGAAAAAACTTCAGCTCCTCCACCGGGCCACCAGGTTCAACCACTCCTGACAAACTTCCAAACAAGGAGCAACATTGAAAGGAGGGGTTTATTTATAAACACACAACCAGTCTAAGCAACTAAAACCCCTCTAGCTCTGCTGTGTGGGAACTGGGCTGCACAACAAACAGGGCTCCCCGCAAGAGCAGAGTTTGCGTTTGTATCCATTGGGCCCTCTGTCGCCACTGCGGTGCGGAACATCCCATTGGGAAGAGCCCTGCGTAGGAGGAACCCCGGGGGCTGCCACATTTTGAAAGATGCATTAAAACCAACCAGCTTTTCCAACGGAAATTGTTCGCTTAGGAGTGGTAACAACACTGGGATGCAGACAGCACGGACACGTCACCCCCTTTAGAACCGCAAAAGCTGGGGATTTCCAAGGTTTTGCCCTTAGGTTGTTTAAAAAAAAAAAAAAAAAAAAAAGAAGAATTTTAACCATTTTGGGCTATGCAAATGACCAATGTAATTAAGTAAAAAGTAAACATGATTTCTAAGCGCTGCTTTGCTTTAAAAGCACCCCAAGTGGTAACTCTCCACATTTCCCTGGAGCATGTGTCACAGGTAACTTTCATTGCTCACCTGGAAAGCAGTTACAGATAAAACACCCTGTGTCAAACAATATTTTTGATGTACATATGCCATTAAAATGATAGAAACTCTCTGTATAAGTGTCATCTTGGATGTCTTAAAACAAAAAGGTTTCTAAGGTCTTTTTAGGAGGACTTTTTTTTTTTTTTTTTCCCCAGGAACGAAGCTAACCAAAGCAAGCTGCGATCAGGAAGCAAATTGGGCTGAATTGTGGTACTCAAACCCACTTTGGAGTGTTTCCCAGCACTGCAGGCAGCTCAGGGACCGTCTGTTAGCAGGGTTGAGTTCAGGCTGCCTGGAGCTGCCCTCCTTGCGCAGCAAAAACGCATCCATTTGGGTGATGCTGATGCCCTTTGCTCTGGGCGGATGCAGAGCAGGGGCTTTTCCCCCCGCAGCCGCTCCAGCCCTGTGGAAACTTCCTTTCAAGGCTCCGTTTTCCCTCGCAGGCGGC